TATCTCCTTCTATAGATATTGAGTCAAAGCATTTCCTGGATTGCACTAAGGTTGGCCAAGTTCCCAACCTGAATTCCCAACATAATGACCCAATCATCGGGTCAAAGATTCACCGCGTCGAGTTTCCATGTAAAACACACCACGTCGTTTCGTCTTGTTTGCCTAATAAAAAACAAATTCTCAGCAAGAGTCAATTTTTTTTTTTGTCTGTTGGAACATTAACGCCTGAGACAGAAATCAAAATTCACATTTCCACTTTCCCAATCTATATTGCTGAGCTGTAAATCTAACGGTGCCCTCATTGATTACGTGCATTGATCAAGTCTGCCTCTCACGTTTGAATTACTGCACAGCCTGGCGCTGGGACGCGTGAGTGTGTGTGCACCCGCGTCCGCCGGATGTGGATTTACAGTACTGGCCGTCTGCGCGCCTCGCGGCCTCTGCACGGCTGGAAACCCTCCGCCTCGGTCCCAAACATCTATCTGTCCACACTCCGCCGCCAACACATTTTTATCAGGACCTAATGGGGCTTAGCTGCCTGAGAAGGCTGCAGAAACAAGCAACCAGGCTGATACAATAATAAGACTTCCACTACAAATGTTGTCCTAATTGGAATCATCTATTCACTTTGCTGAGCATTATCGCTGGCGTGTGGCTGGCTCCCTCCAAGGCATGCACTTCATTTAATTAATGAAACTGTACTTACTGCTGAGGATTATCTTGCACTGGCCTTTATTGAGTTAAAAGCAAGGCAGAGGCAATGAAATCAAACTCTAATCTGTTGCATTGCTTCAATCATTTAGATGGTGTGCTGCAGGAGAGCACGCTCAGATAGAAAACCTGTTGGAGGCCATGAAAGAGACGTAAAACCAGAACTGAAAGCAGAACATTCAGGTGACGCAACGGTTTAGTCAAAGGCCAGACATGGATGGAATTGAGTATACGACTTAATTTGAGCTTCTTTTATTATTTTTTTTTTAAATGATAACGGGCAAAAATGTCTAAAGGTGAGAGAAGTATTGACTCAATCAAAACAACACTGCCACATTATTTGCAGTTTTAATTATTATCATTTCCAGTTGTGTGTAACATAAAATCCCAATCAGACACAAAGATGATTATGATGGCAATATGAGGGAAAAATTTAATAGGACGTTACATGGAACTGGCAGACATATCTATACCTCAAGATTATCTTTAATAATGATTAAATATAATCATTATTTATTTCCACCACTCAAAGCTCCGTGGGGGTGATTCAAATACACTGAGGCCTGTCTTTTTTTTTCTTTTTCTGAGTGACCAACGTGCTTTTTATTTTCGCAAACAGTCACAAACCATGGCGCCCAGTTCGCCGGCTTTCACTGACACTTCGCATTTCCACAACATTACAAGCAAACAGGAGGTTTTGTTATTTTTTGGATTTCCCACAGCCAGCGTCTTCCCGCCAGAGTCCCACGAGGGCCTCGGTTTGGGTTCCTGACACACTTTTTTGCGCCCTTCACACAAAGTTGTGCACACACACACACACACACACACGAGCAAAAAAAAAAAAAAAACATCCTAAATGAAAGCGCAGACCGGAGCGGCGTCTCTGTCGGTGAAGTTCGGCGGGTTTCGGAGTGTCCAGGGTCAGCCGCTTTTCCTCAGGGCCAAAAGCAACAATCCAACAAACCGACCAACCAGCAGCCGTCACAATGCAGCGAGAGGAAACAAGAGGGAAAGTCTGGATGAAAAGTGGATTTATTTTTTTATTTTTATTTTTTTTACCCTTCCTCTTGAAAAGCTAAGGTTTCACAAGTTTGGCTCTCGCAGCCCTGGAAACCCGCACGGCCGCAGTTATTCATCCGGGCAGACACCATCAATTACCACTAATTAACCAGATGATGGTCTGGTGAGCAGAAAATGAAGGAGGTGATTAATCACTCCGAGCACCTCCAGGCCTCCAACTCAACCTTAAAAAAAAGATGGGAGACTTGAATTCGAAGAGCTGCTGGGTTTCTTTTTCTTTTCTTTTTTTCTCCTTGCCTTGATGACGTGCCCAGAAACAGGACGCGTCAAAAAAACCACTGAAGAAGGCAAGCAGGAGAAAAGGGGAGATGCTTCTGAGGATGACATTAGTGGTAATAATCCACCTGATGGGGGGGAAACAAACCTTTATGCTTTGAGTTTATTATACCTTGCATACTGTCTGTGTCTGATAGGAATCAAAATCTAATCTTTTTCTTTCTTTCTTTTGTCATTAAAAGGAGGGGATTTCCTGTCTCTGCTGAGGTGGTGCTAGTCTCTCTTTTCGCTTGCCTCTCTGGGTGAGTTTTACTGGCGGTTGATGATGTAATCGTGGAAAGATCCTGGGTGCAGTCAGACTAGTAATCCGGTGGGAAAAAGCTTTCATCCGGCCAAAGCCGGATGTCTTCAGAAATAAACAAGTTAGTCTTTGCAGCAGGCAAGCATGAGGACAGTGGATAACTTACAGTGCAAAAAGTATTCACCGTAAGTGTCCCATTTTTCTCACACTGCCAGGTCTGTGATTCTTGTATAACTGTGAAGCAAAAGGAAAATGGTGATTTGTAATCAGTCGTTAATTAGGAAAATCAACTTTTAGTGCAATCTCTTCTGCGAGTTTTTCGAAGCATTTTTCTACCACTTCCTTACTTGAGTTTCTCAAGGAGATCGCGTTTGAGAATCCAAATGTTTGCAGAACGAAAGTGGTTCTCTCTGCAGTCCCCCTACCTGAAGTGTGGATCTCTGCAACTCCTCCAGAGCTACCACAAGCCTCTTGGCTGCTTCTCCGATTAAATGTTCTCATTTCCCAGCCTGTCTGTTTAAGTGGACATCCAAGTCTTGGTAGGTTTGCAGTCGTTCCCCACTCCTTCCATTTTCAGATGAAAGATAGTCGGAGGTTTAATTGTTTTTATACCCCAACCCTGATTTAAACTTTGCCTCTGATTTTTTTTCTTGGACTCTATTTACCAATTAGGGGATACCTGGACTCAACACAGCCACTTTTGAGCCAAGCTTTTTGTGAAAGCCATACTCCGTGTTTGATCTATTCCCAAAAAATTAAAAATTATTTAAAAAAAATAAGAGGTTTGACTTCTTCTTTTATGTTTTTTATGCAAAAACATAAAATTTATCTACAGAATAGTCTTCATATGGTAGAAAAAGGTACGTTTGTTTTCTTTTATTTTTTCTGTAAACGGTTTTGAGCGTATGGGAAATTATTCCTGTCTCCATCCAGGATAAATATTTAATCCGACTGGGGGAAGCCAGGAATTTGTCTTGCAGATGGGTTTTGGGGGGATTTTTTTAAGAGGCCTGCTCAGGACACAGTTATACGCACAACTCACAACGTGCCACATGCAGTCCAGTCATTTCTCACTGACCCCTCTCTGTTGAGCCAAATGAAACCGTGAGCGACCGTGCATACAGGCCCACCAAGCAAAGCGTCGGATCTTCTTGTATAAAGTAAAATGTTCTCAGCTGGGCTGCAGCAGCCCAAAAGGTCGTGTTTAGTATGACTGCTGTGCGCTAAGCTACTGCTATCATCAGCTCAGTTTGATGAGGGAGTTGGGTTGTTTTGTTGTGCACTCGCCCCATGTGTTCTTTATTACCACATCTTCTGTGGTGATCCATAGCTCCTGTGACGTTCCCCTACCCCCATTTTCTTTGGGGGCGGTAGGGGGAAGGGGGCGATTGTTTATATGTGCTAAAGATAAAAGAAAATCACGGCTTTATCACCAAGTCCTACTGGGTCTGTTTACTAAGCAGAGGGCCTCGGTGGGGAGGCTGATAAGTGTAGAGCAAGAAATGATACCTGCTTCAAAAAAAAGAAAAAAATAATTACCCTCTGCTTCTGATGCAGAGATTTTATTCTCCTGAGAAAGAGAAAAGGTTGGATCCTAAGTGTTTGTCTGTAAAATGACTCATTGTTCTGTTTTTCCATGGACTGTGAACCAAAATAAAACTCAGGGCTGGATTTAGGTGCTTCTATCCTCTCTAAGCTTCATTGCGTTGACATCTGCAGTGTGAAAATCTGCTTGCCTGTGGCGCCATCCTGTGGGGAAAATCCTCAGAGATCAACTTGAACAGAAAAAAACCCCCAAACAACTTAAATCTGAAAAATCTCATGGTGCTGACTCACTGTTTAAAAGTGTGGCGTCAGAGTTCCTATATATTTAGCGAACTCTTGTAATGTGATTGATAAACAATTCTCGGGGCCATCAAAGGTCAACCACAACAAATTTACTAAATCAAACTTATTCCGTCGCAATCGAGTGAGCCACTAAAATTGTGAAAGGTGTGCAGTAGATGCTGGATGACTCGCCGCCAACATCTGTATTTGGGCTCAATAAGGATTAAACTCAGGCTCAGTGGGTCCTAAGTGTGTGGTTTGACCAAATGCAATCCATATTTGCAAGATGTCAGAGAAATTGGTTCAGACTGAGCAACACATTTTGGGCCATCAAAATCAGCTCCTTCTTATTTTTTTTCTTTTTAAAACCAAAGACATGCATCACATCTACAACAGGAAATTAACACGAGGCCAAAGACGATCCCTGGGACTCGCTTGTAAAATGTTGTCTGGAAAGAAATGGAAACTATTTGTAAGGATTCAGGAGTATTGGCCAGGAGGAAAAAAGTCTAGAAATAAAACTTTTTTTCCCCCCATATTTATCCAATCCTAACAAATACTTAAAATAATGTGCAAATGAAAATCGGGGGAACTTTCGGGAATATTTGGCAAAGAAAGCAAGACTTTTCTAATTTAGGAGACAGGCAGCTCCAGGTGTACCACACTCACTCTGAAATTAATTGAAAGCAAAAACAAAGTGGGCAGTACTTAATGAAGCTACATCCTTCATAACTCTGGTCGAATGATTTTAATGCGTGTGTGGAAATAATCCATAAAGTATAATGAAATAAGACAAAAAAAAGAAAAAGAGCATCCGATTAAATAATAAGAGTCGCATTAACTGTTACCATAAAAAGCAAATAGATCCATTACAGCATGCTATTAATTTATTAGCCAGTAGTGCAGATTAATTGATGTACAGCTCTATTTATTTTGTAGTTTTTTTTTGCCAAGGATAACACATGGGACAGTTTTGCACAACATCCACTTACAGGCTTGTCAGTAATGCTTGCCAACCAAGAGGAGGAAAAGTTCTCAAGTACAAACGCATGATGAGTTTTTTGTACCTAAGACCATTTTCTCGACCTTCGTGTACTTTAATGGAGGCAGTTGCATTTGAAGGTGGGCAACAGAGACGAGGTTACCTTTAATCAGTCCCGTAAAATGGCGGATAAATCTGGGTGCACAAACTACAGGTGATCTCAGATTAATAGCCTGTGTACGCTTTCAATGAGCTGCTAAAGACACTGAGACGTTTCAGTCAGTAAACCTTAAATGTAAGTGGTTATTCTTTAAGAAGTGATTTAAATAGATTCCTGTACAACAGTGAAATATAGACGGGTACGTTCAGAGAGTGCAGAGCGTGAAGACGTTAACATTTGCTGTATTTCATATAGATAAAGCATGCTAGCAAATAGAAAACTATGGTCTGCAGAAAATGATGCTGACAAAGAGGCAAAGACAAACGGAGCACAGGCGGCGGCTCTTTCAGGTTGTTCTCGTCTCTCGTGATTCTGCCCGCTGGTTTGAGTCCGAATAGTTCGCACCGTCTCGGTGTTACGGTGAATTATAACCAGACAGACAGAGGAAATAAAGAAAACACTGTAAGCACAACATTAATACCTCCTAACCTCCCACACAGAAGCCGCTTCGTGCTAATAGACTGTGTAGTGTTTAGGCAGAGAGAGCACGATGTAGTGAAATACAACCTGCCATGGAGCAGCACAACAATCATTTCAAAAGAGATGAAACCGACGCAGCAGTCAACAATAGTTTCCTATAATTTAACGCCGAGCTAAGATGCAGATGAAGGTTATTGTGCAACCACTGGTGACGTCAGGTAAGATAAAACAAAAGCAACTCCCGTCAGCTTCCACTAAACGATCGCTAGTTTAAAGAGTCTAGTTGAAGAACGCTAAAGGTTTTTATTTGCGCTCAGGGAGCGAGCGGCCCCAGCCTCAGCTCTACATGATGAGTGAGCCAAACGGCCTCGTGAGCAGCGTCGCCCCCCTCCTCGCTCGGCCGGATGGGAGCTGCGAGGTTACGGAAGTCGTGGCGCATCCTAAATGAAACGGTGACATCCGTGTCATCTTCTTTCAGAGGGACCACTTTGATGAAGAAACCGATCTTGTTGGACTTCCTGAAGGCGACGATGCTGGAGAAAAAGGACAGAGATGAGTTCGGGCGTTCTGCTCTCAAACATCAACGCGCACATCGGTTTAGTGTGTGCGTGCGAGAGATCAGTGCCGTTTACTCACTCTGGATCATCCTGGAAGTCCTGAGGTTCTGCCAGTTCGTCGTACTCAGCTGCAGCATCCTTCCCTGCCAAAACCAGTTCCTTACTGGGAACAAGAACCTGCACAGGAAACAAGTTTCAAATGTAACAATAAAACTTTCCATAAATGTTCCCAGTGAAATAAAAAAGGAAGTGTTCTTTAAAGGTACACTACATAATGTTAAATGACAAAAAAAAAAAAAATCTGAGACTAACAATAAAGAACATTACATAAGAGGGCTACTTGCCCTCTTAATTATATTAACTGTATAAACTCTTGCTAAACACATTTCAACACAGCAATCAAGAACATTTTATGTAACTACATCTAGAGAATGTTGCAACTCCTCCTAAATTCTAGATGTTAGGAATATCTATAAACTACTCTCGCATTAAATTTAAATTTCTAAGGAAGCAAAAAATATCCACAAGAATAATTCGGTAACAAATTAGATTCGCCCCCTATTTTGGCGAACGCCAGAAGTTGAGACATAACAATAATCATTCTGCTCAGTTTGGCAGCCTGTGTTATTCCTGCGGTATAATCTATCTACAACCTTTATAAATCATCTTTTTACAAAAGCATACTACTAAATAAATCATTTAAAAGACTCAATATTAAATTTTCAGCTGAAAGGGCAACAGATATTACCTTGATCTTAAATATGAGAAATCTTTCCATTTTATGTTGTTCTACTATAAAGGAAAATGGGCTGTGGAGACGCTTCGTTTCAGCCGGAGGCTCTTTGTTACCCAAACTGACCCGTGAGGCTCCGACAGACCCGCCTCACAGAAACCCACCCAGCTAACAAGGCTATTTCCAGGCATGTTAGAATGAGATGAAGGCTTCCCATTTCTTGAAAAAGGGCCAGGAAATATAACTAAATTCAGAAAACTGATAAAAAATTTATTTTTATTTGACAAACATGATTTTGGGCCACAAAGGTGAAAAGAGCGTCCAGAAAGAACAAAAGTATAAATTCACCCTTGCATTGATTTATTGGGCGAGTAACTTAGCTTGACCTGGAACCACTACACTAACCAGCTGGTTTGATGAAATTAACACTTACAGCCTAATGTTTAACTTGTTTAATCCGCAATCATTTATTTTAAGAAGGAGGTCATCTAACTGCAGTTTCAGTCCAATTAAAACAACATGGCGACAGCAGAATCAAAACACACCTTGGATGTGCTGTTAATATCGTCAGGATCATCTTCTTCACAAACAGCCAGTGTGACATGAGTGATGTTCTCCACCGGGTTGGTCAGGGTTAGCAGCACCTGACTCTCCTATGCGAACAGCAAAGAGAAAAGAAAAGTTAATGTCGCCGACTCTCTCTGATCTAATGATACGATGTCTCTCATCTGTTTTCCACAGTCGATTTCAAGCAGTTTACTAAAGAACATTTTTCCAGACAAACAATATGTTCTTAACCAGTGAATTTGTATTGAAGACGAGGACACGCTTCGCATCTTATACTGATTTTAGACAAGTTGACTTAATTGCAACTTATTTGCTGTATAACATAACATTATGAAGTGTGCAGGTTTTAAATAAGGCAGTGTTTCAGTTTCCCTATATCGCTTACGTTAAATGAGAAAGAAAATAAAAAAAAGATTACAATTCTATCGACATTGGTCATCAACACGCAACACAACTGAAAAAATTACATAAAATATGGTGAAACTTTTCATTATTTCACATGAAAAGATAGAGATAATCCAGGCTGGTTTCCAGTTTCCAGTTAGCTGAGAATTGAATGTTTTGTTTTTTCTTAAGAATGTGATGCAGATGGACCAAACAAAGCAGAAACTGACCTTCATGTATCGGAGATTTGGAATGGACATTATTCTTACTTCAGGGATGTAACTCCTAATGGAAGAAAACAGAGCAACCGTTTCACCCGACAGCCAAACATCCAAACTCACAATTCACAGGTCACTGAATTGTTAAATTATTAATCATTCATTCAATTTTTTTAACTAAAACCAAATCATTTCAGCCTGACTTTGATCAAGTATTTAAAGCTGAAATTTGTTTAATTTCCAGAACGATATTTCTTTAAACCCATGCACTCGAACATGCATTTACAGCTGCACAATCAATTTTCCCCAGATTAGTCTAATCGAGCCCGAGGCTGATTTACTTCACACACACATCGACAACTACTCACACAGCCACCAGCTGAATTTTGAACTTGATTGAAGTTGGATTAAACTCTGGCTTGCTCAGGTTGTGCTCGCATTTCTGAGGAAAGCAATTAAGAAAAACAATGTTTTACAAATTAGATCAGCCATCCCTCCGTCCCTAAAGAAAAATAAATAAGACCATTAGAGAGCCGTGAAAGAGCGGAGCTGTACTGACCCTGCAGCGCAGTGAACGCTTCATCAGGAGGTGTTTGTGTCTGGGGTGGAGCTGAGAAGCTCCTGCAGGCTGGAAGTCCGGCTGCAGCAGCCGCTGACGCAGCGTGGTCACTGCACACACCGACAGACGCGGATTCTCCTCGTCAACCGGCGCACGGTAATCAAAGAGGTGCTTCGACAAAAAAATCTTACCTTCAGGTAAACTGATGGGTCTGGTGTAGCAGTCCTCAGGCAGGGGCTCCACTTCATCAAGGGCCTGAGCGGGTTCGATTGTGATTTCCTTTTGGTCCTCACCTTCTTTAAGGCTGGTTAAGAAACACAAACAGGAGTCGCAGTTTTCAAAAGTTAGGTTTTAAAACAACTAAATTATTTTATCGCAGTTTCAGTTAATAGTCCTGAGTTACTGATGCCAGAGGAACCACTGGAGTGGCTTCAAGGGGCAAAAAATAATCCACCATTGCCCCTCTCCCAGTTGTTGCTGCTCAATGCTGATTAAACAAATGAAAAGATCAAAAGGTTCTTGGTCAATGGTTTTCAATCTCACAGTGGTTTTGGATGCATCTCTGCTCCACGATTTAAATGCTTGCATTGCCTCCTCGGTACGTCAACAAGTCCTGTAGAAGCCTAATAATCTTTAATTCATTTAAGGCAGGAGGGTGGCAGCAGGGATAATGGGTCCTAATTTGTATACTTAAAATACACACAGTTTCCTAATTTGATAGATTGTTTTCTACTTTGGCCAATAAACCAAAGTATAAAACTTTGGTCTTGTGGTTTAGCTACAACAACTGGACTTTGCTTACTCTTTTTTTTTTAAACTTGTATAATTTTACAATTTTGCAGGGAGGCTTCAAAAAAAAATCTTTCCAAGCGCCCAAAAAAGGCCCTGAGCTGCGTTTTGGACACACCTTTCAGATCAAAGCTGTGAATTAAACACATATCCATAAAGCCGTCATTACAGAACACTTTGTCCTTTCACATCGTGCAACCTGATCCACCCGGATTATGGGCTGTATGCCGCCAAGTACAATGCAAACCATTGAATACAGTGATGGTAATCCCACAGCTACTGGACGCTGGGGCAATACAGACGTGCCCTGTGAAGAGACGGATCACGACTCTCCATCTGGTAATCCAATGAATGAGTCTGGGTTTAGCAGTTGCCAGGAAAACGACACTTACCGCCCTGCAGTTTGCTAGCTGTGGTGACAGAAAGGAAAGGTCTGGTACAGAAGGGATTATGGTCTGTTTTCTGGCCCCTTTGTTCCAGTGAAATTAATGCCTCAACATATCCACATTTTTTGGACACAGTTGGAGGGTGGCCACTTCCTGTTCCAACAACACTGCACAACTTTGAACAAAGTAATACATGGTCGAGCGAAGTTGGTGTGAAGAACTTTAGTTTTACGCACACAGTCCACTGGAGTTGATCCCACCCTTTTTGAAGAACTGACAAAACAGGCACCAAGCTTTAATACTTTGTGTTTGCAATTTTCCCAATATATGACTGAGCTTTGCACTATGTTGCTTATACAGGCCACATTTACTGCATTAAATACACTCAAAGTTTTTGAGCGCAAATAACGAAACATATTGACAAGAACTATATTAAAAGATTGTTGGGTAACAGCCGTCGCTCCTGGTTTTTTTTCCACTTTGTACCATTTAACAACACTAAACTCATGCTGCAGCCCCATAATAACCTTTACAGTTCAAAGTGGTGAAGAGTTTGCAGCTCCTTCCTGAGAAGGCTCAAGTTAGTAATATTGATGTAGCCACTTCTGCTCCCAATTATGTGTTGGGAAGTTTCAGCCAATTGGTAAATGTAAAAATCACATGTAAGCCATGGAATGAAAGTATGACAGGTAAAAGCTGTTTTTCTAGCTTTTACCCAACCAATTAGTAATTAATTAATTAAGTTGTGACACTGTTTACCAAAGGTGATGCTCCAACATCACTTTCGCTGTTGACTACGTTGAAAGGGCTGATAAAATAATCAAACCAACGAGGACTGTAACTAAAGATTAAGTAGTTGATTATTCTATTCAATTATTCTGACGATTAATAGAGTAATCGGATAAAACAAATCTTTTCATTTAAAAGATGCAAATACAAAAATGATTCAATTTCTTTTTTACATAAGACAATAAACATTTTATTACCCAAATGCTATAAGATAGCAATCCTTTAGTGAAGTTCAACCAGGCAAACATGCCTTTTTGTAAGATCTACAAAAAATATATATTTTTGTTGATCTTTTTATACAAAAAGATGTTAGTCATTTAATTTACGAATAAATGATTAGTCATCATTAAATTATGATTATTCATTTAATCGTAAATGATCAATCAATTGCTAAATTAATTTATAATTATTTGAATAATTATAAATTATTCAAATGTAGTTGCTGAGCAGAATCATAACAATCCCCCAGAGGTCATACAAATAGAAAATGTTTATCTCTAGGATGCAAAAATAGCCGCGTTCTTCCGATTTGCTAAACGATAGCTCACCTAAGTCCAGCCAGAGTGGCTATTGGGGCTCCAGGTCTCTGCCTATGCAGTCTGGTTCCAAGGCCGTATTTTTCCTGGGTGAATTCGGACAGAAAAAACATGATCAGGCAGTCTGCCAAAAGACAACTACGGGGGAGTCACAATGATTTATGAAATTAATCTACGGCTATTTTTCCACAAGACAAATCCTCTGTCTAAGACATAAATCCATGTCAACTCTTAACAAAATCAGAAAAGAGTTCTTTTTAACATTAAGGACAATAAATAAGCCAGATAGAGTTTTTATATCTTGCTGCGAAAGACAAGGAACACAGAACGGAGCAGCTGGAGGAAGACAAGAGGGGATTTTTTGACTTAATTAGGCTTAAATGCTTCCACCCCCCCATCAAAATAAACAGATGTTAAGATGCAAACATAAAGCTCCCCTTGTGTGAATCTAAGCTTAATTTACCCAAGGAGACATTCATGTGATCTGTGAGGTCTCTCAGTGACAGTGTTAACAAGGAAAGAGATAAAAGTGCAACTGTAATAGACAAGACTACCCAAATTGTGAAAGTATAACTCACCACCACATGAATAGTGTGTTGCTGGGGGGTAAAAACCAAAATATCAGAGTGCATTAGCAAAGGAAAAAAAAAAGGAGAGAAGGTGAAACCGAAGCAATCAAGCAGAAACATTAATGGCATTTGGTGACATGCGACTGCAACAGAAACGATCATTTGAGATGGCAAAGTGGAACCGCAGGACATCTTAAGAGGTTACAACATACAACAGGAAGCACACGTTTGAATTAATGGGTGTTAATGTAGCTAGCTTCAAAAGCAGAAAGCAGGTGTACACAAACATGATATCGACATAAACATTTTCCATTTGATCACCACAGACAAGCTGGAGGCTGTTTTGATACTCAAGCAGCAGAAATGGATGGACACAGCGTAGTGTTTGTTTCAATCAGAGCTGAAACAAAGTCACTGGTCAACCACAACTATTCTTCCTTTTTTAAAATAAAAAGTATGCTGGCACTCAGTGACACCCGCTCTACCTAAACCTGAGACCGAGCAGCAGTGGATCAGATCTTTAACTTGCATATGGCTGTTGATCTCAGTGAGTACAAAACAAATGACACCACTGCCGTTTGACATTTTAAAAGGTTACAGAAAAAGATGTGGCATTTTCGGAAAGAGTTGTGTGAAAGCGTCTCTCTCAGGGGGAGCAGAGTACCGAGAATGCCAGGGGCATGCACTGTCGTCTCCTTGCCAGCTTCTTCCTGTCTCTCTCCTGCTTCTCTCGGTGGGCGAGCTGCTGGTAATACTCAATCAGCTTGGAGATCTGTGGCAAACGAAAAGTCATCCACAAACAGGTCACCATATTCTTTGTGAATTTTTGAACAAAAGACAAGCTTTCAAGATTATAAGCTTTCACCAACACAGACTTAAGACTTTTTATGAATTTTAAATCATTAAATTTAAGACCTGTGTCAGGACGGAGATGTACAGAAGAACATTAATTTGATGTACAGAAGAAGAAGATTGTATATTTTATATTGTATTAGTGTCAAGCTTTTTTTTAATGCAAAATGCATCAACAGGTTGGCAACAGAACTGAGCCAGTGGCAAAGACAAACGGCCAGCCAGCCAACAAGTGACACATTTACACTTACCAATAATAGATGCCCAAAAAGCTACAATTTCAGACCTTTTAAGGACTTAATTTTAGACATATTTATGCAAAACCTTTTAAGATATACGGAAACTCTGTAATAATGATTCCAGTGTGAGAACCATCCATTTTAAGTCTGCTGTGTACAAGCCCAGCTTCCTTCTATATCTAAATAACTAACTTGGATGGAAATATACTTTTCCAAAAATCCAAATGACAAATAATGATTTTGACCATTTGCTAAATTCCTTTACTGAAAAAAAAATGTAGTTGACAAACTTTTTATATTTTAACGGCTCATTGGTAACAGCAGTCTCTGCAGCTGAACAAAAACATGTGACTACCCACTCTGACTGGAACTTCACTCTAAATATATAGAATAGTAATAATTTGTCATTTGTGCTGAATCTGAACCCCAAGTTCCAACCGAGTTTGCGTTTGCCTTCGGCTATGAATGTGTGGATGTAACTTTCTCAGAGAACTATTCAAAAGAATGCAGTGTGTGACCAAGGAACATGTGAGTAACTCAAGAGTACTCAAGTGACCACAGGGTACAACTTACCCGCTGACCGTGGGGGTTTTCTGGCTCCTGCCATCCACCACTGGCTGCAACAAACAAAATGCTCCAAAACATCAGACTTAAGTGGTCATAACACAAATTTACAGCTGATAATTGTGGGGTTTTTTTAGATTTAGTCTCCCCAAAGCAAACAAAATGTCCACTCTATTAATGTGCAAATTGGATTAACGCCTACCAACTGATTTGTCTGCCATTCCTACATCTCTGGAGGTCCAGCGACAGAAACCGCAGGCCAGGTAGTAGGCTTTCTTCATCGTTGTCTTGGTAGGATCATCAGGCAGAGGAGCTGGAATGTTAGTGGCCCGAGTTGACAGAGTGTGCATGCAACATGGGCAGTCAAAGCAATTTGCACACCTATATCGGTGCAAAGGGAGAAAAGTGGATTAAATACATTTCCAGAGAGTAATACTGGCAGTAGTAGAACAAGTATTAGATGATCAATAACCTGTTCTTTTTCAGCTTAGCTTCAGCAGATGGCATGTTCTCCAGACAACTGGGACAGTAATGGGAATCCACCTAATTAACAGAGACAGAGAAAGAACAGTTTATCTGTGAATAGCTTCAGCAAGAATATCATTCTCAATTGTTGAAATTTGTTTGAACTTTCTGTACAGTAGTTGCCATATCTATGGACCTTTAAGAAAACCTCCAACCTTCAAATAAACATCATTACTGTTTAAATCTATGTCTATTCAGTTATTTGAACATTTCTTACAACTAGACCAAAATATCTAGCATCTAACAGTGGCCATGAGGTGCTTTGCCACGTGTTCATCCTTTGCTTCATATCAAACCCACTTGGAGTTGTTACCACTTAATCTTAGTCTCAACTAAGCCCCAGCCCAGTTTGACAAGTTGTACATATTTATGTTTTAATGGCGTTTGTTTTATCATATTTTGAGACATAATGTGAAATAAAATGTCAAACTTTACAGTCGGATAAAGAGGAAATATTTAAATCTCATCGAGTTATGAATATGTTTGGGTTTAACTGGACCGAAGCAGTTCTTTAATAACCATCTATGTTTGCTATGCCTTAAAATCTTTCTCACTGTGTTTTTGCAAGATATACACTGGTCTATGTCTAAGTTGGAGGCAACAATAAAAAAAGAGACAGTGTCAAGTAATATTTACAGCCCCGATAAATGGCTGGTCGGAAGTTCTTAGAAACTGACCCCTTTACAAAAGTGTAAATAACAAATATGTAGTTTCAATTATTATAAAGGAATGGTTAGGGGTACCAATAGTTATGCCATTAATGATATTGTTACTTCCTAACTTAGGATTTATTTCCCCCACCAAGTATATCAACTCTAGTTAAAGGTTGAATATTTCTAAAATGTTCAGTAGATTATTTAAAGCCAATAAAAAAATTATATGGGTTTTTAGGATTATCGCGTATCTTAAGAAGAGGCAACAAAACATGTGGCTGGCGTTGTATCCAGGCCCTCTTTATTAGTGTATTCTTTATTTAGCTATAAGGAATAAATTAAACGTTATGAATTAGTTGCATAGAAACCCGTTGGAAGAGTGAAGCAGTGTAGCGTCTCTGGGTGTGGTGTTACCAACTATTGGCCTCATTACGAAACTACGATTCCTAAATAGGATGGCATAACTGATAACAAAGCCAGCCCAACGTTTATTATAAATGGGCTCATTTCGTTATGGTATAGACAATATGTATTTTTCAGTTACATAAATTGTCTTACATCAAGATTAAAGTATAGCTTAAACTACCTAGCCTGTTTACGCTACATGACGCTAACTCTAACGGAAGTGAATCCGTCCAGCCAATAAAATGACGGAAAAGCAGGAAAAGCAGTTGAACGACAAGGCGCTCAGCCATTCAATCTGCGCGATGAGTCCACAAGTCCCGCCCCTCTGTCACAGCGACAAGCAGCTCGGCTAACAACAAAGCAGTTACCCGCTATCGAAGGAAAAAATAAATAACGTACCTCATGAGACACACATTCCAGCGACCTTAACTCACTACAGTAGCGACAAAAATAAAGTTGAGATAAGGGGGCTCTAATCCTTTTCTGTCCACGGACCAGATAGACCACTCTATCTGGGTGCAGCAGAGACGCCATCTTTCACCGGCGTCGCTGGGCTGACCGACCGTTCGACTGCGTTCTATTTGTCACTGTGAGGACTAACGGCTCAGCATTGCCCTCCAATGGTGAACACTAAAACTACACCAACAGTTTCTTGAGGACAAACACTGAAGACCACGTAATCCAGAAATGCAAATATTTAATAATCTCTTCTTTTACTGTAAAATTAGCTCCGAGCATAATTTTCCCACCACATCTTAATTTAACTCATTTGAATTTATTGACATTACCTTTGGTCTGCTCATAAGCATTATTAAAGTATAATATCTAGTTCCATTCAGAATAAAGTCCATCAGTTTTGCAAAAACAGTACACATCAGTTTCCTTGTTTGCAACTCCAGCTTCTGATTGGGCTTTAAGCTACAGTGACTTGCAAAACTTGACATTTTAAAACGCTGTAAATTTATGACTAAACACTTAAATGTGGTTCACAAGGTTATCATGTCATAGAACAGCACAAAGTTTGCAACTTCATGACTGTGAAATGAAAACAGGGATGCACAGTGGCACAATTTGCACATGTGTGGGTTTTCTGGGTACTCTAGTTCCCAGAAAATTTGTGTGCATTAATCATTATTACTTTAGGCTGCATCAAATTTTTGATTTAGTAAGAGAAGAATAATGGATGGATGGATGGATGGATGGATGGATGGATGGATGGATGGATGGATGGATGGATGGATGGATGGATGGATGGATGGATGGATGGATATCGCAATGATTAAGTACAATATAGTTTGCTGTTTAAACGTTTTTGAAAACTGGTACAAAAAAAATTAAAAAAAACATTCAAAAGTAACACATTTTAATTTTTATGATTAATTATATATTTACACAGCCCCTCATCTATTTTTTTTTTTCTTTTTTTGTGGGGGAGGAGGGGCAACAGGATATTACATAGCATTATCCCTAAAGCATTATGCCCGTTTCTTGGCCCTGGGGCGTCTCTGTTCTTCTCTAGTCTTTTTAAAGTCTCTCCCATTACTGTGTTGTCAGATAAAGCCAAAGAGGCTGGACAACTTTCCACAGGGCACATGGTCGAGTGGCAGCTCACTATGACAACCGCTGATCCCAGACAAGAGAAATGATCCTTGAATAAGAAAAAGAAGAAAGAAAACAAACCTCAGCATGTTGCATTCAGAGGAACTGGGTCAAACTGTCATTGAAACTGACAGTTACATAGTCAGATTTAAAAAGATTATTATTAATATATGTATATGTTTGTATATATCCAAATCTTTTCAACCAAAATTTATTCATTCATTCATTCATTCGTTCATTCACGTTTGCCTACTAAACGTGCCCGTCAGCAGATGTCGTCATGTCTGCCCTCCGCCCCCTGACGCCGATGTTTATTTCCCCGGAGAGAGAAGCAGGGAGACATCCACAGAGAGCGGTCACCGTGTCGTGGACAGACGTCGTCATGCGGCCCTTCTCCCCGCCGCCGCCGCTGCTGCTGCTGCTGCTCGTCCTGCTGCGACCCTTCGCCGCCTGCGAAACCGGTTTGGTGCAGGTACCTGTTGATAGGAAATGTGTTTGTGTGTGTGTGCAGAACAAATTCAACAGCCTGAAGTATTTATTTATTTATTTATTTATTGCTACTGTCTTACACCTGCGCCCTGTCGCTTTTTGAGCTCTAGGAAGCGTTTATTCTTAATTAAAGCGTGAAAGCAGGATCTTATCAGGTATTTGATGTCATTTATGCCATCCGCCATAGTTAAAGGCATAAATGCCAGCACCTATCAATTATGCACGTTTATTGTATCAGTGTAAAGTGTTTGCGATTGTTAGTGCAGCTTTAAAACGCATTTTGCATAATTGTGTTTTTCTAGTCATCAAAAGAACACAAAACGTTTTGACCACAAAAATCTCTAGTTTTCCGTCTCTCTCATATGAACTAGCTTTGAAGAGAGACACCATTAACAGTGAGCTGCAAGAGCTTGAAAAGATTGTTTCCAAGTGGATTATTTAAGGTGTTTTGGTTAAAGGTTGTGCCTCTTTTTGTAATGGAGCAAAGTTCCTGTTGACTCTGGTCTTACTTTGCACTAGGACAGCTGGCAGTGGGGGGGAACTCCAGTCCACAAAACAATAGAGCTTTGAAAGGGTAAACACATTTCACTTCACTTTTTATTTCACCATTGTCCCCACAGGGAAATTTGCCCGGCAGCCACGTGAACGGATAAATAAGGAATTGGTCAGTATGTGATGATAAGTCAAACCAGATCGGAACCGTCTGTTCTGATGAATCCTAAGACATTACAGTGTCAAGAGATCCATCAAGATGAAGGTTTTCGCCTTTCTTGCTGGTGGTCTTGTCAAAGCAGAGTACATTAGAGCAATAAGCATCATAATTCATGTAACAATGTGGGCCTTTAGATCTCCTGTGTTGCTTTACATGCTTAATGGTTTGGAAAATGCTCATAAATAATATTCAAAAGTGTGACATATATTACCTTTCAAGAAAATCCAGTGCAACCAGACATTATTTAAACTCTTTTCCTACATGTAGATCATAGTGTGTGGAAGAAAGCTCCCTGAGCATCAGCATTAACACAACGACACATGATGACAGCGTCATACTCTAGGAATGATTTTTCTTCCCCAACAGGGACATGGAAGTAGGCCGTAGTTGATGGAAAAATGGATGAGGCTAAATAGATAGTAATACTGGAAGAAAACCAGCTAAGAGACTGCCAAAGGCCAAAGGTTCACCTTCTGGTTAAAGCAGGTGAACCTGCTCAACAGGGTCTTCTTGTTCCCCTGACTCTGCCAAGCCTGTTCCCTTGGCTGTGGTTTCGGTCAAAGACCCAAACCAAACAGCCAGAGGTACAATGGAACAGTTTGGATCAATGCAAATTCTTGTGCTCAAAGGACCCAGTCAAAGTCTAATTAGCTTGGAGACTTGACTGAGCCTGAGGAAGTATTTAAAGAAGAGGGATAAATAAAAGGGGATGTGAATACTGTTGCAAGACATTGCGATTCACTTTTGATCTTTTTAAAACAAACCCGGTTGAATTAAATATATAATATTTATGCTCGGTAAATGATTATGGAATCACTGAGGTCAGTGGCCCCGGACTTATGTTTAAATTAGTTTACGTTAGTTGACACTTGGAATCTGGAAGAAACTTCTTACCTCTAACTTTTGCGTTTACGAAGGTAGGTGCAGACCGTCACAGCGATCTGAGGTTAATATTGGTATTTTTTTTAATTTGCGTAACACATAATAAAAACAAATCAATACTGGCAGCAGTTGGTGACGCAAATGTACCTTTGTTAGAATTACTTGGTGTTCTAGCCAAAACACTCTTTACCTTGTGTCTGTACACACAGCGGTGTGACTTGTCCGCTGCTGGCACCATCTACCCATACAACGCAAGGACTCTAAATGGAAGTCGCAATGTGAACTTTGCCGACTACGCCGGAAAGACTGTCCTTTTCGTCAATGTCGCGACATACTGAGGACTTACTTCTCAGTATATAGGTAAGCAGCTGCACACTGTCGGCTTTGTCATTTGAGCATTACTCCATTCGCCACCTGAAATATTGTTTGTCTTCTTTTTATTCCTGGCGTTTCCCTTTCAGAGCTGAATGCACTGCACGAGGAGATGAAACCCCTTGGTTTCACTATTCTAGGCTTTCCATGCAACCAGTTTGGCAAACAGGAGCCGGGGGCGAGAAATGAAATCCTTCCGGGCTTAAAGTAAGAAAACTCTTCCACCTTTTTTTTTTGTGTGTGTGTGCAGGTCAAGCTTGAGGCAGTCACAAAAAGGAACATTGTGTAAAGGTGATAAGGAAGTTTAAAATAAATGCCATTAAATGGAAGTTTTGTTTCCTCAAACTGCTGGGTAGAAGGAACTCTGAATCCAGGAAACTAATAGTGTAAAAATGTGAGAATCCCTTAAATTATAGTTCAGTAAGGACATTTATGTAAGTGATCATAACACGAGCTGGATCTGCAGAGGAATTCCCAAAGTTTGATAAAACTTCAATCAAACTTTACACAGTCAAGAGAGTTGCCTACTGGTAATTCAATAACTTTGTTATTTTTCACCTTTTTATGCACACGTTTAAGCTACGTCTGCAGTTCCACAAATCATTACTGATTTTTGGAATGACATCACGGCGTTTAACAGCCTGAGGGATTTTTTTGGGCAGCTGCCAAACTGCAAAGTGCTGCGAGCCGCAACCACTGATAAGACTCTTTCTTTCTGGACGCCAGGTACGTCAGACCAGGCAACGGATTCGTTCCAAACTTCCTGCTGATGGAGAAGGGTGACGTGAACGGCAAGAGCGAGCAACGGGTTTTCACGTACCTCAAGGTAAGTTCCAGGTTTTAAAATGAAAAGAAAAACATTCCTGCATTCTCAGAATGCAGGAATGACGATAACCCTACATTCCAATCTTTAGGCTCCTTAAATAGCTCACTACTTAACTTTCAGAGACATTGTTTTTTTTTTATTACTATTAAAACAAATTGTTATTCTTTCTTACTACAATGGCTACATTTTCAAATGCCTCAGCTTTTTGCCGTCAAAGCCACATACTTCACTGTACAGTACTTTATTTTATTGTTAAACCCCAGTATAACCCAGTTGTCTTTGGAAGTCATCCATTTAAAGGTAGATATAGTTAGCCAATGTATAATTCAATCTTGGTATAAATAAATATTTGAAGGCTGCAGAGGCTTGGTAAAAGAACATTATTGAAGGAACAACTTAAAGACCAAGAAGCACAACACACAGCAGGTCAGTACGGTGGCCCGGAGGCGCAAACCCCTTCAGCAAATTGAAAGCACAAAAGCGCTACAACATGAATGAAAGAACGTGAAGGATGTAAAATAAAAGAATTTGACCCTTTTTTTTGTCACACTTCTTCAGGCATTCGTTACAAAAAAAAAGTAAAATCGAAGGCAAAGTTTAAAAGATGATTCAGGACTTTCTGCAGACTTAGTCATACTTCAGCTTCAGTGAAATGGAGACTTGCATCATCCACTAAAGCCATGTATCTTTAATGTTCTGACAAACATTAAAGTCAGAGCACCTTCTGGTTCAAAAGCAAAAGCGAGCTGAAGTCCAATTAGCGATTTCTTACGTCTCCCACTGGGACATATCTCTTCCGTTTTGTTCATGTTGTAGCACTTTTGTACTTTGTAATTGTGCTTTCAATTTGCTGAAGTGGTTTGCACCTCAGAGCCACCATAGGTCAGGAATAAAGGCGTGGAGCACTTTAATCAAAGCAGTATTGGCTTATGAAACAAAAGCCCAAGCTTGGGACACTGAGGACTGTTGATTCCATCATCTGAAATGCAAATCTGACCTTTATGGAGAAGTGGCAAAAAGAAAGCCAATGTTAAAAGAACACCACAAGAAGTTCCACTTCCTGCTGTGCAGCACAGCAAGCACGCTATGTGAAACTTCTAAGTACATATTTTTCTCTCTTGTGTCCATGATTGATTTACAGCAATCCTGCCCTCCAGTCGGGGACGACTTTGGCGCCCCTTACGGCAGGCTGTTCTGGGAGCCTCTGAAAATCAACGACATCAAGTGGAACTTTGAGAAGTTCCTGGTGGGGCCCAACGGAAAAGCGGTGATGAGATGGCACCCGCGTGTCCCCATGTCTACGGTCCGAGCGAACATCCGCGATCACCTTCTCCGAATCTACGCGCAGAAATTGCAGAATTAAAAAGTGATAGATGCTTCATTTCGTTTTAAGTGATACGGCAATAATTCACGCATAGGAGATGTAAGGGTAGCAGATTGGATGGTAATGTGACTGTTTCTGATACATGAAGATGGCATGTAGAATGAAGAGGAGGCTTGAAAACAGGAACTCTGTGGTGCCTCCTCTGAGTCTGGGGGTGCAGGAAAGCTTTTCAGTGCATTCGAGCTGCCCTGCAATCCCACAGCACCATGGCATCTTCTCATCCCAGGAACTGTTTGCCATTACAGCAAAATCTGTCTTTTTAAGCTTCAATAAATCATTAAGAAAGCCACGCTGATGTCCAGACTTCTCTTTAACGGCACAATAACAGCTGTAAACACTTTTGCGTGCGGCAGTACAAAGACAAAATGTGAATAAGGTAAGACATTTAGAATAGATTTATTAAGCCAGTCAAATACAAAAAGTCTCACATGTGCTTTTTGCCAACAGCAAAAAGGAAAAAAAGAACGCTATAAACCAGAAAAATACACCTGCCAGAAATTACAGCATACCTTTCAAAGTGCAACTCTGCTGATGTCTCAGTTCTCACCCATCAAATAGTTTTGTTCCCCGCAACTTACAAACTCATTTAACAAAAATTGAGCGAAAGTCCCATCCCGCACAATTTGAAGCCCTTCGTCTAACTACTTGAAATACTTTATACTAAGAAAATAACTGGTCTGATTGGTTTGACCATCCTACAAATCGTAAAACATATTTCCAACATGTAGATTCTGTACTATGTCATGAGGTCTTCTGACTTTGCAGGCAAATCCCCTTGACATTAATTGCTGGTCATTAATTGGGACTGAAAGCATCGTCAACACATCCTGGACGAGGTTTTTGTTTTTTTTTCCCTCTGAGGAGCAGAGCTGTAATACGCAAGTTGTTGTATGAATAGGACTCTCACTCCTGCTGCCTTAAGGTTTTGAAGCTCTGTTTGCAACTGTGTGTTGGAGCTACAGTAAGATGGTACAGGATGCAGTAAAAATGAGCATAAATATCAGAATGCGTGGTAAAACCAAGTAGAAGTGTTGTTTAATGAGATTAGGTCCATCATCATGGAAAAAAAGGATGTTTAAGTAATGTGCATTGTGTCTGATACAAACATACAATGTCAATAGCTACAATATATTGGGATTACACTAACAACATAGAAAGAACAGCATTACTAAAGACAATGATTTACACTCAGTAAATGCAACTATCAAAACAGCAGGTTATAAATAAATTATTAGTAATCACAATCGTGTTTTTTGGTTTTTTGGTATCAAAATTCATTTTCCCAAATTTTTGTATTTCAACAACCACTTTTGAACAGTTACACATATTAGACATTTCTAGAACATCGATGGCACTGTAGAAATCCTCATAAAATCAATTGACATTCACATTGTTTTTACTTCTATGATTTATTGTACCTATATAATCATTCAGTGCTGGAATGAGCACGTGTTGTCCTATTTGCTTTTGGGGAATGGCTTCCAGTAACCCTACAAGTTAATCAAGGTGTTAAGGTGTTACATACTTGCAGAGAGACAATTACATAGGTATATTTTGTAGAAGGAAAAAATAAAAAATAAAAGAAAGCAATGATAATTATTCAAACTCATTTAACAAAAGGACTTCAGTTCCAGATAAAAAAAAAATCTAAATAATATGTATATATATTTCTATATATTCAGAATAGCGAAGTGTTTCACAAATAGCCTTATAAAACGCAAGTATAAACAACATTACAATAGGATATCTACAGTTCAGTAGGAAAATTATATCTCAATCACACCTTGTCAACTCAAAGACAGTTTCATGCTACAACCCAGACTCCATCAGATGGGTACGGTGATGCTTTAGTGCTTTCCGGGGTCGATGTTCTGTCTCTCCCTTTTGCCAAACCCTGTTGCTGTGGCTGCTGTTGACTGATCTACAAAGGTACAGAAGCAAAACCAGGTCTGGCTTAAAGTTTCCAACTCTTTCAGTGTTTAAAACATTTGTTTTTGCAACAGGTTAATTCCAGGTAGTCTTCATACCCATTGTAGTTCATGACACTACAACCAAACGACAACGCATCACTGCAGCCTTAGTAGGTAATTATAAGATGAAGTATTTTAATATTAAATTAAAACTGCAAGATTTTTGGAGCTGTTTTCTACCAGTTTTGCACATTCAAACACCAAAATACTTGTAAATTTAAACTTTACAAAACAGCTGAGGCTTATTCTGTTTAAATGGAGAACCTCTGATCAACTTTCAAGTATTGCCAGAAATTCCCAAATGGAGCATGTTCTGAACTTTGACTAAGCCATTCTAACACACACACACATTTAATTTGATCCAAACCATTCCACTGTACGTCTGATTAGTTTTATGCTGGTGCATCACATAAAATGAAACATTTTAAAACTTTAGTTTTAACATGAAAGTTTTTCATGTTAAAAAGCACAACAGATGTTTCACATAGTAGATATGTGACCTGAAATACTTCATATATAAAGCAATTTGAGCAAAAGAAAATGTGAGCATGTTCTTTACCTGCGTTCTCTGGTGGTGGTCTTGAGCTCTCTCCTACTGCTCTGGCTCCTCGTGGTTGAGGGAATGACATCTGCCAAGGAAAACCCTGACCAAACACAATTTACGGTTAAAACCAAAAGTATTCCACACCTGAAGCAGCAATCCTTAAATTCTCACCATGATCCTCACAAGAAACTTAGGGTAAGAGGAAGAGAGACTTTACCGGGGTAACAGGTTGGAAGTCTCGAGCTGGGGGTGGTGCTGCTGCTGCTGCGGCGGCGGCGGCGGCTCCTGCTGTGGCGCCCGCTGCGTTAGGCATCCGGGGAGGGAAGTGAATGGGCCAGCCCTCCAGGCCCTGCGTTCCCACCTGCACAAAGGGACCACAGTAGGGAGGACTCAGCGGGCCGTTCACTGAGCCCGACGTGGGGTCTGAGGTACGTCTTTCCTGCTGCTGCCCCTATGAGGTGTCATAAGTACAAATGTGATCTCCAATCAGTGCACGCCTGCAGCGGTCCATGTAACGGCATGGCCCCTCTGCAGACCCTCAAACCTGCTGCATCTGCTGATCCCAAATGCACTGGACAACTAACAAAAAGCAGGTGGTTGTTTTTAAATCAACTTATCGAAGCTCTTGCATTTGACACTTTTCAGCCACAAGGGGGCACTAATCTACAAGTTTTTTATTTTTTATTTTTAGTATTATATTACTTATTTAATACTGAAAGACATGATCAATAACCACCTTGATTTAACAATTAACCTAACATAAACTGTTATTATATCAAGCATTTTAATAAAGCTGTAATATTATGAAGCTCAGCAGCCAGTACCTGTTTGTGATGCTGCATCTGCAGTCTCTCCAGCTTACATCTCTCTGTGCGTTCTCTCTGACACTCGTTCTGAGCCTGATGAAGCTAGACCACACACGCACGCACGCACACACACACACACGCACACACACACACATACAAAATAGGAAAACATATAGAAAATAATCTCTCATTAAGATGAAATGGTATTCTACTGCGACATTTAAATGAAAAATCTTTCTAAGGTATATGAAAAAACGCCAAACAAAATGACTCTTACTTGATTGGTCAAATTAGTAATCTGACCGTGGAGCCTCTCAACTTGTCGTCTCAGATCCTCTTTCTCCTCATTCATTCGCTCCCTGTCACTTCTTTCTTTCCTAAAGTCCTCCTCGAAGATTTTCACCTGATGTACAGATAGAACAAAACCATAATATCAAAAGTGCTCTTTAAAAAAAATCTACTGTATTGTTTTTCTCAGTTATTTAGCATCCTATCTATTAAGAAGAAATAAAGCATAAACTTTACATACAGTGTAAAGTTAATCCCAAAAAAAAGAAACTTGTGTGCAGTACACTGAAATGAGTTTAAATCATATTTACTTACTGAGTAGGTCTAGATAATACAGATTGTATTTTTTCTTATTACATTTTATTTTGAACAAAACATTATGTTGCTTATTTTTTCTGTTTTTGAAAAGACTTTAAAAAAATCTGTTTTCACAGGAGCAATTCCTACCTATTATTTTATTTATTTTTGGAAAAAATAAATTAAGAAGATATGAGGTTTAAAGAGCCACAGAAACAACTGGGAGCCCCTATTTTTATTTATTGTTATTTTTATTTTTTTTTAAGTTGGTATGATGGTTGAGTGAGGTTTAAAAAAAACAGTATGAAGTTTAGCCATACTTCTTCCATGATAAGGAAGAAAAAAAAATTATTTAGATTTTAGCTTTTCAAAACATGCAATGTTATAATGGCAACTTTGTTCAAAACCATAAAACTAAGTTACATCCTCTAGGAGTGTTGATGATTAATCTGGCTGGAAGTCGGACATCAAAATGTCTGACTCAGGATATTCATTCATTTTGTTTCAGTGGCAGTTGTTGAACAGACACATAAAATTTTGTCATAGATTAAACAAAAATAAGATGCTACTTAAAATTGTTCCAAAACATTTAAAAATTAAGAAATATTTTTTATCTGTTACCAAACGTGATATATGGGGGACAAATCAAAGTGCTCAATGTGCTATAAAAATATGACAGAGAGAAAAAAAGCATCTGAGTTGCATAACGTTTTTTTCAAAAGCAGCTCCTAACACTTTGTGTTAAAAATAATTGTTTAATTTTTCTCTTTTCCACTAACATGAACAGGGACACTCCAGGCCCTAGAAAACATGGTTTGTAGCTAAGATTAATTAGCTCCAAACCATACAGAGACACAAGACATACGGAGTGGAAACAATTCAGCTTTAAAGTACAACTGTTCATATTTTTTAAGGCGTCTCTTGCCTGTTCTTTTAGTACAGCGATTTGTGTGAGCAGCTCCTGTTTTTTCAGGTTATTGGCTGCATCTGCAAAGTTCCCCGGTCCAGGAGGTTGCTGAGAGGATGAGGGGGAATGCAAGTTCAAGGCTTCCTCCAAGGCCTGGAAAAAAAAGACAGTGAACATGTAAAAAAAACAAAACAAAGAAAAACATAAAACAAGTGAAACTGGTTGGAGCTGAATTTGCTTCTCTTTTGCTCACTCTGTTTAGGCGTTGGATCTCTTTCTCCTGGTATTCCCTCTGCTTACTGAGGGGCAGCAGCTGATCCTGCAGGTAGCGAACCTTCTGCTTCAGCTCAGTTGTTTCAGAGTTTAAACACTCCTTTTCGCCCTGAAACAAACAAAGTCAGTGGCACTTTCTTCAGTCTCCTGTGTTCTTGTTAATTCAGATTTTTTATAAAACGAGTGGGCTTTGTGTCTCTCCAT